GATTCTGTGAATCTATACCTGGTCAGCATGGACCAGTTGGGCCGAAGGGTCTGTTTCCATGCTGTACATCTCTAAGACTCTATAGCTGTGTTGGGTCCTTGCTTGCGCTAATTATTGCGGGTCCTGTCCCTAACCGTGTACAGGAGCCCAGGGTCTGGAATTTAACCCAGCTACCGTGCCCTGCCCCCCACCCCCGTAGCTTCGCTCCCCAGCCCCGGGGGGGCTCTGGCCCCTGGTCAAAGCCGGTGCCGCAGTGAAGTAGTCCGCAGCCGCACACGTGAGTGTGGACGGGAGGGGAGGAGACGGGAGAGAGAGAGGGGAGGGTGCAGCTCCGGGAACGCACTGAGGTCAGCAGAGACACTGGGATCCGCACGGTGCCCGGTTAACAGGCTCCCTCCTCCGTGAAAGCAGCAACCGGCCACTGAGTCACCAACATCAGCACCAGTGACGATGGAGTGAAGAAGCCCACACTCCCAACAGCAGGTAAGCAACCAGAACCTGACAAGCTCTCTCTGTTTTTGTTCAGTGGACAGCTCCCAGCTTCATTCACTACCGCATTGCCATCCTGTTTCATTTCTACAAAACCTGCTGCTCTCGCTCAACGTCACCTTCTGTCTGGGAGTTGGAAGCCTCTCCCTCCGCCCCATTTCATAAGGTTTTGAATGAATTCTCAGCTCAGCGAGAGAGGGAAGGCGAAGCTTTTGTGTGTGTGTGTTTGTGGAGCGTGTGATGGGATTGTTTTTCGCTCGACAGTATCCGCAGGCCAGCGAGGGTGGGAGTGCTGATTCTCTCCGCTCTTTGTTGCGGTAAACCGTCAGGAGGAATTTCCCGCAGGTCTCCACCCTGATCTGTAGCTGTAAGTGTGTGTGTGAGAGAGAGAGATAGAGATGGAGAGTCAGAAAGAAGGGACTTGACTGATTGCTCCCTTCCTTCTTCTATCTCTTTTTTTCCCTCTCCTTTATTTCCTCCATCATCCTTTCTGTGCCTGTACACCATTGTCTGTATCCTCTGTATGTGTCGGATTCTCTGTGTGTCTCAATGCATGTATCTGTCTGATTCTGTGTCTGAATATATGTGTGTCTCAATGTATGTATCTGTAGATGCATGCATGTCCATATGTCGGGGTGTGTGTCTGTATTTGCATGTATATGTATCTGTGTGTTCGTGTTTGCCTGTATGTGTCTATCCCTGTCTCAGGAGATGCTGCTGGAGCAGGTGCAGTATGTTTCCATTCACCTCCACCAATTTGTTGGCAACACCCACCCAGACACAGTTGGGGACAAAGCCAGCAGCACTGGCTTGAGATGCATCCATCAGCAGACACATTGCCTGCTGTAGGCAGTGAACAGAGCTCACCCCATCAGAGCTGATTCAGTGCGGACTACCAGATAATCAATGGTGCTGAATCACACCAAAGATGGCAATGGCTAGTGTTTAAAGTTGGCTGATGACGGGAGCGAATTGCAATGGTGTCATGGCACTGTCCATCCTCAGTTCTGATCCAAAGTCATCCACGATTGATGATTTTTCAAGTTTATTTCTGCTCCTGAGGAGATGTTTAATTGTTAATGTAAACACTTTATGAAAAAAAAATCATATGAGGGCAGCTTCCATATTAAAATCCCTGCCCGGTTTCTTTAGAGATAGTCAGTTTGAAGTTTATTACTGCACAAGTATTCTGCTGGTATTGTGTTACATTACACAGTGACTTTTTTAAAATAAAAAAAAAACAAGTATCTAAAATGGCCGCCAGAGCGAGTTATCTTATTTCTGTGTAACCTCTGCCAGTAGGCTCTGTCTTTATTCCCAGGGATGGAAGGCAATGCAGATCCATCTTGGTTTGCCATCTGCTAATGGGTTAAGGAGGTTTATTCTTAATGGGCTATCATCAAGGGAGCGCTTTTTAAAACTCGCTCACCCCTCCCTCTATGCCTTGTTTTTTTTTTGAACAAGAAATAGTCTGTGTGTTGCCGGAGTCCTGCCTCTATCCCAGGGTTTTGCAATCTGCGCATTCTTACCTAGCGGGGATGGTTAAGTTTAATGGCAGATGGCCTGGATGCTTCAGGACACACCTGTACCCAAGAAAACGTACCTGTTACTGACAAACAGCTTATCCCACATTTGCATGATTCCTCAACCCAATTGGTCTATCTAATTAAATACTAATAGGTCAGATTGGTAGAGGTGCCAGGGAAAGTGAATGTGCAGACCCAAATACCAGGAGTGGATACAGCAGCAGGTGGAATCATGTCCCTGGGAATGTAACTTAGTTTGTCACTCACATCAGAAACAACAGGCCAGGCAGGACTGTTGTGTAAACCATGCCAATGAACCATAACCTGCCTGCACTCCGTCTTGTTGAATGGTAATTCGTATTTTTTAACATGCAGATTTTTTTTTTTGTTGTCGCCTGCATTGTACTGATTCAGAATCCCTTCCGAGAAAATAAGTGGGAGCTTGGGGCAGAGTTAAAAGATGTTAACCTAATCAAGGGCCTGTGTTGGCGTCATCAGCTGAGAAAGCAGAGCTTCTATGGTGTCTAAACATCTGAGTTTGGAGATTAATTTACAGCCTTCAGCTGACTTTGTGCTATTGTGTGCTTGCGTGTATGTTTTGCACTGGCATTTACTGTTTCATTTTAAGCAGGGGCTTGTTGTTGTGCTGGGGTATCTGTCAACGGTATTGTTGGTATGTCGTTGTGACATCACCACTGCAGTTTAATAGGAAAATAAAACCCGCAGTTAATTTTAACAAAATTCTCCATCTGGTGTTTGGAACATGATATTTGATTTAATAATAGGTGCCAAGGCAATGAGATGCAATCTTGATAATGTCAGCCTATGAACTTGGACTACAGCCTTTAATTCACAGCCATTTGTTTACCTACTCGTACAGTAATTGCTAATGGATAATGATAGGGAAGGGCGACATTAAATAGGCAAAGACCCTGTCTCACCTATTTTCAGATCTCTGTAATGAGAGGCCTACTTTAACGTTTAAAGAAATAAAAAAGCAAAGAACTGCGGATGCTGGAAGTCAGAAACCAAATCAGAAATTGCTGGAAAAATTCAGCAGGTCTGGCGGCATCTTTGGAGAGAAAGCAGTGTTAATTTTTTTTTCAGGTCTAACGCCCCTTCTTCAGAAATGAAGAGTTCTGAAGAAGGGGCACTGGACCCAAAATGTTAACAGTTTTCTCTCCACAGATGCTGCCAGACCTGCTGTGTTTCTCCAGCAATTTCCGATTCGCTTCGACATTTAAAGGCTTTGATGTTTGTGTTCAGCCATTTTACTGTGCAGGAAATGAGGAATGCCAGGAGTGAGCATGACAAGAGCCAACATTAGCTCTGCCAACCAAGATCTAAGCTTCGTTAGGGTCAGGTGGGGGAGGGCTGCAGGGTGTGACTGAGGATATGAGCCCAGCTCTTCTGAGAGAGCTTGTATTTTCTCTAATGGGGATATGGATGAATGCAGCCTGCTTTGAAATACGTCTGTACTCTCTTTTCCCTCTCCACTTCTGGATACTTGGGATAGAGTGCAGCTGCAAGAGCAGTGTTTGCGCTCTGTTACCATTCCTCAGCCTATTGGACCATCACACAAAGCACAATCGTTTTTTTTTTGTCTAACTCTTTTCAGCATTAATCGGGCAACTTTAGGAGACAGCGAGTTAACATGTCATCGGCCTAGTAATACAGAGGCTTAGGCTTAATGGTCTGGGGATATAGATTCGAACTCCACCATGGTAACAGGGAAATGTTAAATTCAAACAATAAAGCTATAGTATAAAGTAAATTTCAATAATGGGGGAGGTCCTGAGGTACAATCAGTGACTCTGAGTTTGAGTCCTCACCCAGGCTTTGATGGAAGATGCATTCGTACCATGGTCTCTCAGGTGGAGTATCAGCCTGTCAGTCCTTCCAGTATACCCATGGCAGGAGGCAAGAGCCGGATAGTCTCTTGATCAGCCTTCTTGATGTGGAGGGGTGATCCTCAAGGCATAGCCTCTGCTGAAAGGCTGGTGACCCATTGTTTCACAAAAATCTAGCCAGGAAACAAATGTAAGCACTTGCTTAGTCTGCCTTATCTGCCTCTGGACGTGACAAAAGAAAAGGAGACCAGCGTTGGTGACCAAGCCAACTGTCATTAATTATTGTAAATACTCATTTGGTTCACTCCTACCCTTTGGGAAGGAAACCTGTTCTGGTCTACATGTGACTCGACACCCACTGCAATGTGCTTGATTGTTAACTACCCTCTGTGATGGCCTAGCAAGACACTCAGATCAAATAAAGTAAGTGTATTGCTAGTGATGCCCACATCCATACCAAGGCCAAGAAAAGCATCCTACATCTACCTCCACTCAGTGCAGTCAGCATGGCCTGGGAATAGAACATACAAGGTCCTTGTCTGCTTTCCATGGTTCAGTAATGCATTGTGCAGAAAGAATCAGAGTTGATACTTCCTACCAGGAAAATACTTTAAACAGACGAAAGGAGCACTGAGATCTGGGGACGGAGTTACACAAATCATTTAAAGCAGTGAGACAGGTTAGTGAGATTGTTATATTGACAAAGCACCAAAGTTTATTTCTAGAAGGATAGAATTGAACAGCTGCGAAGTTATGTTCAACTTATATGAGGCCATGGTTATTACTGAAGCATATTAGAGTATTGTGAAGAGTTAGGGAGAAATTTTCAAAAAAGTTAATAAGAACGATACCAGGACTGAGAGGTTGATACTGGTTAGGAAATGTCAAACAGGCTGGGGATCTTTTCTCTAAAAAAGGAAAGACCTATGGGTGAGTTGCTAGAGGCCATAGGAAAGGGTTTTATAGGGTAGTCATAGAGGTATTTCCACCTGTGGGCAGGACTGCAACCAGAGACAATAAACAGAAGATGGCTACTAATAAGGCCAATATAGAAGTTCAGGAGAAACGTCTTTTCCTAGAGAGTGGCTGGATGTGGAACTCAAGACTGCAGGGAGTTGTTAAGGTGACTAACATTAAGGGTATGTTTACTGAAGGAGAAGGGAGCGTAAGGTTATGAAAATGCCATTAGATAAAGAAAGGTGGAGAACAAAACACCAGCATAGGCCTTGTTGGCTGAATGGCCTGTTTCTGCATTGTAAATACTGTGCAATGCTTTGTAATCGGCTAGATTAATAAAAGGAAAATGCATCCTGTGGTATATGCCACTAATGTTGTTCCTGTGCTAATTAGCATCAGAAATCCTGTTAATTAAAATATGTGATCTTGGGATATGGTTCTCACTGGTAAAGCAGGGTTTATCACCCATCCCTAGCTGCATTTCTAATTTGCTGCCTCTCTTTTTGTGTAACAGGCAATCCTCACTGCAGTCTCTCTATGTGTAATGGATAATCTTCACTGCTGCCTCTCCATGTGAAATATGCACATATGAATTTGATGGAACAGGGGAAAAATAAATCTGATCCATCCTGCCCACACATTGTGATAGCTGGAGCATCGT